ATGCAATGTCTCTAATGCTTTTCTGTGTCGGAAGCAGACTGTTGTGCAGTGTAGAAAATCACTATGGAGCAGCTCACAAGCATGAAATGCACACAGTGGTGAAACAACAAGGGAAATTTGAGGGAAAAAAGCAAGATCTAAAAATCTTGCATACATACTGTACGTCGAAGTGTGGTATGTCCACCTGCCCACCTAGCAATTCAAAAACATGTAAATGCAAGTAGATAAACAGGTACCACTTCGGTGGGCATATTAACAGGGACATGAAAGGAGTACCCAACTGGGCATCTCCCAGGCAATGGTGAAGTCACCAGCTAATCCTTTCAACCTGGAAGTGTAGTAGGTTTTTAATGCAATCTTTACCCAAACTCAGTACAACAAATGTAATTCCAGATCAAAATTCCAAACAATATATAAACACACACAGAGATATACACGATAAGCATTGGAAATGTTGCTCTTGGGATGCTTAATTTGTTAGTTGTCTTAGTTCTGTCTAGACAGATGTACGCATATCTTGTTAAATTAGAGAAATTAAATTTAGTCCTGGACATTTAAAAATACATATTTTCTACTGATTATAGAGAGGCTTCTCTATGGACAGGGAATCACGATCATTCAGTAATCTGTACATCTGTATATCTCTTCTGAAGTTAAATCAATTGAAATCTGTTGAATGCCAAGTAGCTCCCTCCCTCTCCTCCATAAAGGAATGAATTCTGTGGTTTGTTTTACCTCTGAGTACATTACATAAGCAGTAATGCACCATCTGATCTATTATTTAATTCACTTAATTGGATTCAGATTCTGCAGTGCTTTAATATCTTTTAATACATTTAAAAGCACTGCATTTTACTAATTTCCAAACTATCACTGGGATATGCATCTTGCATTTCAAAGCAGCTGGGCAAAAAGAAATTAGTTAACATTTTCCCTTGTTCTTTGCCAAATAGTTTTAAAAAGCATGTTTCTTCTTTATGTTCCCCACCCTATAGTTTAGCAGATGAAGATACAGAAAAGGGAATACATAGTAGAAATGTATTCTTTGGGTAATTTGTCAATAAACTCCTTCTTTTGGTAACTTTCAATAAACTCTCCCATTCACCTACAATTTATAAGGCAAGCTACCTCATACCTGATAGCTTCCACTGCTAATTCAGTTAACATTGCAGTAATTGCTTAATGGAATGGTCAGCACATTTATTTCATATTTTATTAAATTTCATTGGCAGAGCAAATGTACTACTGTTCCAGCTACTAGTATTGTTATTAATGTGTCTCCATAACATATTTTCTTTTCTATCCATTTCTCAGTGTTTAGTACTTATTAGCAACTCTATAAAGTCAAAACACTAGAATAAAGATCCTTCCAACAATGCAATAAAATTGTCAAGAAACTCCCCCTTAAAAGTTTTTTTTAATAATTCTGAATAGGCAATCATCAATATAAAAGGGGGGGGGAAACGACATTGCCATAGGTGTATACTATAGGCCACCCAACCAAACACAGGAAATAGATGAACTTTTTGCTAGTCAGCTAACTAAGGTATGTAGGAAGCACATCACAATAGTAATGGGGGACTTTAACTACCCTGACATCAACTGGGAGACAAACTCTGCACCAAGTGGAAGATCAAACAGATTCCTGACAAACCTAGCAGACAACTTTGTCTTCCAAAAAGTAGACAAGGGAACTAGGGGATTAGCCATATTGGATCTAATCCTCACTAACAGAGATGAAATGATAGAAGGTGTTGAAGCCATAGGAACCTTGGGAGGAAGTGATCATGCAATATTGGAATTCAACATTATGGAAGCACAAGCAATAGAACACAGTCAAACTAGAGTCTTGGACTTCAAGAGAGCTAATTTCAATAAACTTAGAGAGGGTTTGGGAAGGATTCCATGAATGAAAATCCTCCAGGGGAAAACAACTCAAGAGACTTGGGAAATTTTGAAAAGTGAGATAATAAAGGCCAAGTCTAGCACAATACCAACAAAGAGGAAAAATAACAGCTCTCAAAAGAAACCAGCATGGCTGCATAAAGAACTCTCTGATCAATTGAAAGATAAAAAGGACAAGTATAGAAAGTGGAAAGAGGGACACATAACTAAGTCAGAATATCAGCAAATAGCCCGAGCCTGCAAAGACGAAGTGAGGAAAGCTAAGGCTCAAAATGAACTAAGGTTTGCAACCAAAGTCAAAAATAACAAAAAAAGCTTCTTTCAACATGTAAAGAACAAGAAAAAAGTGAAGGAAACGATTGGTCCATTAGTGGGTGAAAGTGGCAAAAGGTGACAAGCAACAGGGAGAAAGCAGAACTATTTAACTCCTTTTTTGCATCTGTGTTTACACAAAGGGAAAAAACAGACCAACCTATCAAAAATAGTGCCATAAAAAACAAAATAGAAATACAAGTTAAGATAAGCAAGAAAATGGTAAGTGAACACCTGTCTAGCCTAGATGAGTTCATATCACCAGGACCAGATGGATTACACCCCAAGGTTCTTAAGGAACTGGCAGATGTGATCTCAGAACCACTGAACTATATTTTTCAAAGATCCTGGAGCACTGGGGAACTACCAGAGGACTGGAAAAGAGCTGATATAGTTCCCATCTTCAAAAAAGGGGAAAAAAAGGACCCAGGAAATTACAGACCTATCAGCCTGACCTCAATACCTGGGAAGATTCTGGAAAAGATAATCAAACAACGAATCAGTGAAAACCTTCAGGCAAAGAAAGTCATTACTAAAAGCCAATACGGGTTTGTCAAAAACAGATCATGCCAGACAAATCTTATTGCATTCTTTGACCAAGTGACAAAATTAGTGGACCAGAGGAATGCTGTGGATATAATTTACTTAGACTTCAGTAAGGCATTTGACAAAGTAGACCACAACCTATTACTTGATAAGATAGAAAAATGCGGGTTAGACAGCATCACTACCAGATGCATCCGTAGCTGGCTGACCGGCCATACTCAGCGTGTGGTCCTCAATGAAACTGCATCTACATGGAGGGAAATGTGTAGTGGGGTCCCCCAGGGCTCTGTTCTGGGCCCAGTGCTCTTCAACATCTTCATCAATGATCTGGACGAGGGGATAGATGGGGAAATCATCAAATTTGCAGACGACACCAAGCTGGCAGGAATAGCCAACACTCCAGAAGGCAGGCTTAGGATACAGGAGGATCTGGACAGACTTGAACACTGGGCGCTATCTAACAAAATGAAATTCAATGGTGAAAAAAGTAAGGTTCTATATTTAGGCAAGAAAAACCAAATGTACAGGTATAGTATAGAGGGTACCTTGCTCAATAGTAGTAACTGTGAGAGGGATCTCGGAGTCCTAGTGGACAATCATTTAAATATGAGCCTGCAGTGTGCTGCAGGTGCCAAAAAAGCCAACCCAGTGCTAGGCTGCATTAACAGAGGGATAGAATCAAGATCACATGAAGTATTAATACCACTTTACAATGCCTTGGTAAGGCCACACTTGGAATACTGCATCCAGTTTTGGTCACCATGATGTAAAAAAGATGTTGAGACTCTAGAAAGAGTACAGAGAAGAGCAATAAAGATGATTAGGGGACTGGAGGCTAAAACATATAAGGAACAGTTGCTGAAATTGGGTATGTCTAGTTTAATGAAGAGAAGGATGAGGGGGGACATGATAGCAGTATTCCAATATCTCAGGGGATGCCACAAAGAAGAGGGAGTCAAGCTATTTTCCAAAGCGCCTGAAGGCAGGACAAGAAGCAACGGGTGGAAACTAACCAAAGAGAGAAGCAACCTAGAACTAAGGAGAAACTTCCTGACAGTTGGAACAATTAACCAGTGGAACAACCTGCCTCCAGAAGCGGTGAATGCTCCAACACTGGACGTTTTTAAGAAGAAACTGGACAGCCATTTGTCCAAAATGGTATAGGGTTTCCTGCCTGAGCAGGGGGGTGGACTAGATGACCTCCAAGGTCCCTTCCATCATCATCATCATCATCATCATCATCACTATTATTATTATTATTATTATTATTATTATTATTATAGTTTAGATATATTTTTAAAACACCCAGTGTATTTTATTTATTTATTTTAAACTCTGCTGCTCACATTGGACATTATTTTATCATGGACATCATGATCTAGTAAAAGGGTAAAAGAAATAAAAAGTTCTACAAAGCTATTCTGCACCCTGATTCTGATACATATTATGAGAGTTCCATTAAAACACTACACACACACACACACACACACACACACACACACACACACACATATATATAACCTCAATTTTTAAAACAGAATGACATCATGATCTGAAAAAAACCCTGTACTTTGAAACTCATTCTTTGTAATAGCAACAAAACGTTTGGCAACTATGACACCTTTCAAGGTTATTTAATTATTCAATTTATTATCACTTCTTCTGGAGGTCAAGGCAGATGGAAAGGACGAAGGAGTCAATGGGTTCATAAAAATGGAAAATGTGTAAGCCTATTATTTTCTATAGATACGTGATTTGCATTTTTTTAAAAGTCTGAAATGTGTAGAAAGGATTAGGATAAATCCATCATTATGTTAGCAGATCTGACTGTTGAAAGTTCTAATTTCTCCATTCTATTGTGGAGACTGGGGAATTCTGGGAGTTGAAATCCACAAGTTTTAAAGTTGCTAAGGTTGGACACCCCTGCTCTAGTCTAGATTGTCAGATTCTCAAAATATATAACCGGCATCTAATTGCGTATCTGTTAAGGACTTCAAATCACATTTGTACAATTCTTTATGTAACCTCAAGATGTACAGAATTAGAAAACCTGACAAACATACTTAGGAGGAAATTCCCATGGTAATGAATCTCATGTTCAGAACAAAAATTTATAGTTGGAAGAAGAACTGCTTATTATTCTACATGTTAATGAGGAATAAGCATCGGGGTTCCTATAAATGGCAATTAATTCATAGATGATACAATTCTCCAAAAGATCTTATTACCCCACTTACCACAGACAGAGCCTCTCACTAATCTCCTTAAATGTGGATTTTCAGGGAGGTAGCGGTATTTGCATCCAAATATACTGAGGTTTGATGTATGATCTCCAAAGAAACGAAGCTGGCGATATCTCTCCCCACAGCGGTAACAGAAGTTAGTGTTGCATTGTGAGCAAGTCATATGGTCACAGCCTTCTGTTCTCTGAATATGAATCTTTAAAAGTAAAACAATCGTAAAAAGAATCGCTTTAAAAAAGGAAGATTCTTCACAACATTAAATTACCTCAATTGTTTTTTTGACAAATCATCCAACAAATTCTGAAGAAAGCTACTAATTTATTGATAGAGAGACTTATAGGAGAAGCTAAAAGGCTGCTGCAATTAAGGTTTTTAAAATGCTGTTTAAAGCCACAAAAATTCATAAAATTAAGAGACTAGTTATTTGCTCTATAATAATGATACAAATATAACTTAAATCTATGAAAAACAATTAAAATGCTGCAAAGTTAAGACATTGCATGATGACATGATTTTTCAGCAATTCAGAGACTTCACAAACAAGCATTCCAAGCCTGTCATTCTTAGCCAAGGAGAAAAGTTATTATCCCATAGACCAGTGGTTCTCAACCTTTTTAATGCCGCGACCCCCAACCGGTCGTAAGTTGAGGACTACTCAACCAGTCATAAGTTGAGGATTACTCAATTGGTGCAGCACCATTTGCAGAATGGGACTTTTGGCAGGCTCAGCAGGGCAGAGACCTAGCCTGGACAATTCCTATTGGCTTTTGAAAGCCAATAGAATTAGACTCTATTCAAGAGAGTCTATTCTATTGGCTTTCAAAAGCCAATAGAATAAAAGGGAATAGCACAGCTAAGGAAAAAGGGGGGGGGGAAATGGTGGACTGCGTTGTTTGGCGACCCCCGTGAAATGGTCGTTCGACCCCAAATGGGGTCCTGACCCACAGGTTGAGAACCACTGCCATAGACCATCACCAAGCAGTTGCTAGAGAAGCTCTCTGCTTAAGTCTTTGGACATAGATTTGTATTTATATAGTTCCATTGGTATGTTTTGGAAGGTAATCAACAGTATGAGTCTATGGTCAGATACACAGTACATAGACATCAACAAAGACTCCATGATACACATAGGCAGGGTTTTTTTTCTCACAGAACACCCAGAACGGAGTTCCGGCACCTTTTTTGGATGGAACCTTGTAGGGTAGGCAAGCCGGGTTGTATGACGTGTGTGAGTTCTGGCACCTTTTTTTTAAAAAAAAGAAAAAAAAGCACTGCACATAGGGATACTAAAAAGATTGAAATTTTGAATATTAAAATAATTAAATATATTTAATACATATATTATGTCCCCCCAAAATTCAATGAAAACTTGGTTCTTTTGATTTTTTTCTTATTAATTGATTGTATTTCTAGTTTATTAATGTTTGGTTATTAAGCAAATCCATTCAGTTGTTTATCTATTTAAGGTTATGTGTCTGTTGTTCCAAAATCTGAGTGGCTCACAATAATAAAACATATAACAAATGGGCTAATTAAATTCAAAAAAATAAAAAATATAAAGTTATAATTATATTAATGGTTTTAAATCAACAAAACATCACCACATAGAGTTTATACAAAAAGTCATAAAGAATCCTGAAAAGTGCCAATGTTATTTCTACTTTTTAGAAGCAAATCAAGATTCTAGGTATTTTATTTGTGAAAAATATTCCCTATTACCTCAAAAATATTTTAGAATATGCTGTAAGTTAGTAAAGCAGTATTTTTGCACAATGTGTTTAAAATTTAATCTGTTGAAACATATGACTTTTCAATTGTATAAGTTAACTATATAATTCAATTATTAAAATCCATCTCCTTAAAACTGTAGTATATTCGAAGTATTTTAAATTGCACTTGAAAGTTATAATCAAATTGATAGAAATTACATTTGCCAGTAAACTGCTTATTCATTTTCATCACAAACTTTTGAAGAAATTTGATAAATAGCATGTGGTAATTAATTCTAGTGCCACTTTATTGTGAATTTCCCCTTCCAGAGTACAATATAATGCAAAAATAACAAATAAATTCAATATCTTTTGTTAGCTACCATATTTTCTATAGCAAATCACTGGAAAGCTTTTTTTATGTAACAGTATTTAAACTTTGAAAAATGGTAGCAAAGAGTCTTGAATAATCCTTTACTTGAATTCTGTACAATACTCAATTTCATAACTTACAATTTTAAAACAGTAACCTTGCCTTGATATTAAAAATAAGAATTGCAGACTAGATACAAATTGCTAACTAACTGAAGGAAGTAGTCATTTGGTTTGCAGCCTGCTCTGCAGTAACCAAATAGATTAATTTATTTATAACAACAATAGGAATGTATATGAAAACAATGCTTGAAATCTGAAATGTCATTTTCAAATCAGGATGAAGTGTTCCAAAAATGTATTTTACTTTGGTTTTATATAATGAATATGCAGTTTGTAAAAACAAGCAGAACCAGTTGGTGGAAACATGCAGTATATTATCACCCTTAGAACATAAAGCCCAAGTTTGCTCAATAAAAATTCTTGTTATGTGTAGAAAGTTCATTCTCACTGGAATTTTCAATGTTGTCAAATGAAGAAACTTGAAATACCCTTTATTCCTACCGACAGATTTTGAGTTCTATATTCGTAAATGCATCAAACAATAGCTATTTAGCATACAGGCTGCATCGTCAGAATGAGGGAAAATCATCTTTTATTTTCAGACTACTTTGATGACATTATTTTCCTATTGACTGCCTTAATGCTATTTATGCACTTTCTTGCAAACATTTTGCCTTAATTTTACTTAAATGAATGCAAGAGCCTCACTGGTTCAATAACTTTTGGACAGTTCCTACAAAATAAATTTGCATGTTTCAACTTTTCAATTCATCTTATTTGTTTAAAAGCACAGATCAAAGAAATATTGCCTCTGGGGAAGAAAACAATCATCAACCAATGACCTCAAAATTTTAGGGGTTAACATTTTGTAAGATTTGGTCATTTTTTTTTCAAGATATCAGTAACAGAAGAAAGTAGCCAATTTGTAAAATCATGTGATGATGCTCATTCCTGAAAATACCATTGACATTTCATATACAATATGGAAACTAAGCTACATGGTAATTCACCTGCTAAAAGCAAATATTTTTTAAAAAAATAAACGAGTATTGGCATAATTTTTTAATTTTTTTAAAAACAAAATAGTTAAATGGTTTTAATTTTAAAAATAAAACATTTTCACATAAAACTGCATTGCACTGGTCTTTCTTTAGGAAACACGGGACAAATTTTGGCAATTCAATTAACCTTTCATCAATATTTTTTAAAAAATGCAGTATTTTTCAAAATTGCCAAATGCAGATTTCATCCCAAAAGTTCAGTTGAAATTTCTTTTTCTCCAATTTCTGATCAGTAATGTCTTGAAACAGAGAAATACATTATCAAATATCATTACCCAGACAGTGTATTCTCAGAACTTGTTATTTAAATACATCTTAACTTTAAAAAAAAAAAAAGTTGGAAATGAGGGAGGGTTAGGGTTATTTAACTTCTTTCTTTTCCTGAGAAGTAGATTGTTCACTGTTCAATATAAAGAGAGTGATAAGAGCTGTAATGTCAACAGATGATAGGGATTAATTTTCTCAGCTTGTTTCTTGGTAGGTGTTAGTTCTACTAATTGACTTTGCTCAAGCACTTCAAAGAGTATTAAATGAGCATGCGCTGCCTTCTTACCTTGCACTTTGGACACTTTTGAGCATTTCTTTGCCCATGTTCGATTTCACTGGCCCAGTGACGTAGCAGTTTGTCTCCCTTTTTGAACTCCTTGCAGTTGACACCTTCGTGCCACGGAGAATGGCACTTAAAACACCACACAAATTGGCAGGTTGGGCACTGGATCTGTTTAAATAAGAGCATAAAGCAATAAACATCTAAACCAATCGCCATTAATTGAGGCTGGGAAAGCATAGCTCAGCTCCTCCTTGCATGAAAATGACAAGGGGTAGATGGTGAAGGCATGTATCAAAAAAATCACCTAACACAGGTAGACCTCAACTTATTATCTGAATTGAGCCCAAATTTTCTCTTGTTAAGTGAGTTTTGCCCCATTTTATGACCTTTCTTGCCACAGTTGTTAAGTGAATCACTGCAGTTGATAACTTAGTAACCCAGTTGTTAAGTGAATCTGGCTTTCCCATTGACTCTGCTTGTCAAAAGGTCACAAAAGATGATCACATGATCTTGGGACACAGCAATAGTCATAAATATGAACCAGTCACCAAGCATCTGAATTTTGATCACGTGATCATGGGGATGCTGCAAAGGTCGTAACTGTGAAAAAACAGTCATAAGGCACATTTTGCAGTGCCATTGTAACTTTGAATGAACTGTTGTAAGTCAAGGACCTATTTCTAAGTCTACAACTTCTCACTTACTCACAAATTAAGATGAGGCTCTTAAGAAGCCTTACCAATGAGAGAAAAAGACATTTCCTAGGGAATTAACTTTGTTGGCAGTTTAAACCAATAAAATTCTCTTGCAATCAGAGTGGGGTCACTGCAGACTAATTTCTATAATTTATCTCCCTACCACACTAATTCCACATCAGCTGTCAGTACAAAACCTATTCTTATCACAAATATTAGTGCTCTAACCAAACCCAGAAGTTAAGAAGTAAAATATGCATTTATTATTACTAGCTAAAGATATTCATTTCATTATTTTTCCATTGAGGACCAACTATATAGACCAGCTTTTCCTTAGGAAATTGAACAAATTTAGAAAAAGTTGGAAACTCTTATTAACAATCAGTTGAAGAATGGTACATGGAAAACACTAATCAATATTCAATCTTCAGTAGATATAGAGGACAGGCTTTCTTCCAAGTTAATTAAAAAGCTAAATTGTAATATCTAAATTAATTTATATTTGTCACAGTAATGCCCACTTTCTTTTTGTAATCTTGGACCCCCTGGCTGCAAAGCCTGCCAGTCAAAGGCTGTGATCTCCAGTTTATAAAAAGTTACATGCCTCTGATAGATAGGATTGTCATCAAAGCCTTCAATCTTACATTAAATGGGATCTGCAACAAATCTTCAGGTGGAGCCTTATACAGTAAGAAAATGCTCTTGGTCATTGGCTGATAGACCATCTGGGAATTTGTTCAGGCTTTCTGTTATGTTAATTTTTCCTCATTATGGAAATGATGAAATGTTCATGTTTAAGTTTTGTAGTATACTAAAGTACTATCATTCTTACAATATTTTGGTAGTAATCTTTAAGGAATACAGGAATCTAAGTTTTCAATATGCCCTATGGACCAAGTACAATTACATAGTAATCTTTGTATGCTTATGTTTACTTTTCCTCTAAGGAAAGCAAATCTCATAAAATGAATAATGGAGACCATCTGCTGAATGCTTTGGGTGTTCTACTCCTAAAACAGGCAAACACATTCAGTCTTTACACTATTTCTCACCTGTTTTATGCCTTTATTTATTTATGTGCTGCCCATCTTGTCCAATGACTCTCAGACAGCTTTTAACTTTCATAAAAATCCATGTTACATTTATTATAACATGCCAAATAAAAAACTGGTGTTATATGTTAATCTTTCCTTATTAATACCAAGATAATCAATTTATCTTCATATTGGTAAGGCATTTTGATAGAACCCTATAGCTATTTGTCTGCAACAACCTGGATGTGATAAGGATTATGGATTTTGTTGCAATGGAACAAGTGTCTTCGTAAAATTCCACTAAGATTTTAGCAAGCTTCCTATTATTATGACATTTGACCAAGGCCAGTTCTCTTGAATGAGGTTTTGTATACATAAGAATTTATACAGCTCTCAAGGCTCTAAAAATATCACACAGCAAACCTGTTAGCAGAATATTAATTAAACAGAGATCAAGTTTATTATGTCTTCGTGGTCATTTTTGAATCATGTGTGTGTGTGTGTGTGTGTATGTGTGTGTGTGTATAAAAGATGACTGCAATATGGCCAAGCATTGCCTCTGCTTGAAATAATAGGAAAACAGTATAACACACAAAGAATAACCTCATAACTACAGTTCTTTGTTCTAGGCACTTCCCATAGCCACAGACTATGTCAAGACTGTGAGCTATATTTGTTTGACTTTATTCTTGCCTTTCATTCAGGAGTTCCAGTCCCTATTTTCTCTTACCATAAATGAGCCCCAATGAAATGGTGTGCTTAAATGGTGTGCTTAACAGCACTAGGGATTTCCATGTGCAAGATTCTCCCAGCCACCAAGCTCACTGGCCCAGTTGCTATCTCTTAGCCCAATATTTGAAAGGAAAAAAATAGAATGCTCTATATGTTTCTAGAGAAAAGACCCAAGAAATTGAATGAATGTTCTTTCTGGTAACATATATTTGGGCAAATACACTATCTATTCCTATATCGTATTTTCAACAGAATATGTTATAGTTTTAAAAATCAGAAATATGGTTTAAATCAAATCATGGCATTTTTTGCACTGCTTTGATTAGTCCTCCTGCCTCTGGGCAATTATCCTTCCAACCTGGTCTTCTACTTTTCCAAATTGCAATATTCTATCCTTGGTAGGAGCTGTTCAGCTGTGCTCTCTGCTTGACAGGCAGTAACTTAAAAAAAAAGCAGCTGACCTTTGAAATATTAATAATCATATGTAAATATGACCTAGTTGAGCAAGTTGTGTTCTTCATGTTCAACTAAAACCTAGTTTTTCAACACAGATATTTGGTCACTTGAACAATATGAGGTAAATTTGAATATCAAATTAAACTTAGCCAGACATAAACTGCTTATAGGGCTAAACCTGATAATTCTTTATTATCATTAAATTGCTAAGTATTTTTAATGAATTGGCAATTGCATTTGCACAGAAAAAGTGCAAAATTTAGAACCAATAAACACTGAAGTAAAAGGAGAAAACACTAACAGTTTTATACAAGCTTAACATGTACCATATATTACAAAGTATTGTCCTTTTTGGGTGTGTAGGAAACAGCTGGTATAATTTATTGCTTTTGCAAGATCAGCCATTGAAGGTATCTCCTCTATATGCAAAGAATGGTAAAGAGTAGTGTTCAAAGAAAGATAGCAAATGGCTTTTATTTTTGATGTCAGCAAAACTGAATCTATCCTTAAAAATCTGTCTGCAGAAGAAAAGCACTGATGATGTTATCTAGTTAGGGTAATGAAATGTCATGCACAAACACACAACCACTGAATCAAGCACTTGATCCTTTAAAAGGCTTACAAATACTTTAATGATTTGAAGAGGAGTACTTTAAAAAGTATCTAGGTAATGCTTTGTGCAGCCTTACAGTTTGTCTAATAAGATACAAAAATCTAACTCAATAACTTCTTGAAGTTCTTATGCTTACAAAATTGACCACACATCTCCATCATGTATCATATTATTATGTGTTCCTTCTATACATCCTTACTACTGCTATCAATATATTCCATGCCATATTCCAAATAAATAAATTTAGGATTTAGCCTGGTTCCCTACAGATGATTTGGATTTAATTTTCATCAGCTCAACCAACATAGTTAGTGGTTAGGACAACAAGCCTTGCAATATTCAACATCCAGAGGGCACCAGATTGCCTATCCCCAAGGTTTTGTGTGTGAAGATTTTCTTTTCCAACTGTGTTTCACACTGATTTTCAACCTAGTACACGGGTATCAAACTCGTGATGTCATATCACGACGTACCGTGACTTTTTTCCCACTGCTGGCAAGGGGTGAGCGTGGTTTTGGCATGATGCATCCAGCCCACGGGCTGGCAGTTTGACACCCCTGATCTAGTATATCTGACCAGATTGATGTTGTGTGTAGAAATGAGGGGGAGAGAATGCTATATATGCTGATGTGAGGAGAATATAAATAAAATAAATAAGCAGAAAAATGTTTTTCAGAAAAAAAAAATAATGCATAGAAATCGATAAGTTGCCGTTAAAGTGTACACCCTAACTCTCTGTAAATTTCAAGCTTTATTTTAGGAAAACAAGATATATCCACCCTAATGTCATATTGCCAGATTTTTTTCACTGCATGTCTTTCATGAACAATTGACATGCAAATTTAATTTTGATTTTCTTAAAGTATAATGGATTCCCAAAGGATAATTCCACAAAACAGTTCAGGTATCATGAGCTGAATAAATTATGGTTCAAAGCTCACAGGAATTTTTGTAGATTTTCTTAAATCAAAGTTGGTCATAATGTCCACAGTAACAAGTTACATATTTGCAAGGCATAGCAACTATTAGGAAGTTAAGGGGGGTGAAGCCTTTAAAGCAGCATTACTCAATATGCTGGCCATATTGTCTAGACAGCAGAATAGAGAAGAGTACTTTAAGAAATGAAGAAAGTGAGGGATGAGTAAGGATACCAGTCAATAACACATTCCAAAGTTCTAACTCTATTAACTTCGAATCTGCTTTCTAATACTTTCACTATGATTAAGAAAAACACAATTCAAGAGAGAATATAGAATATAAAGTACATTAGTCCTAAAACAAAAATTAAAAATACGAAAGAGATATATTCGTTAAGGGTCCTGTATTATAAAAATATTTTCAAAGAACACTATGCTTTTGTATCTAATTAATTCAATATGATGAAATATTAGATTATAAAATCCCATCTAATAAATATTACATTAAAATCTAAATATTAGGGCAGTACAGAGTTTCCAGTTCAGTTCCAAAAAGTCGTTTTAGCAAATATAAGAACATAGTCTAAGACTTTTTAAAGCAGAGGCATCTTTTCCAAGGATCATGTGACTGTCTTGTACAGCTGCTATATAATATCTTTAAATAGATTCACTTGCTTTAAAGAGGGTTACTTTTGATTCCCAGCACTATTTGAAAAACTTTTGTGGAACATAAATGAATTATTTACATATGATTTGAAGAACATTATTCAAGTTTAAGACTGTGTATCTACAGGTACTGGTTAGTGAGAAAAGCATGGGGATATTTAACTCCACTTAAATTGACGTGATAATCTCAATTTTGGTCAACCAACAAAATAACTATGTTATGTAGAAGAAACCTTGGTGGGACGTTTCTAAAACATTGTTCTATAAAAGTCTATGCTGAAAAACAAGCAAAACACCCAATTCTACATACCATACTGAGCATTTAAAAAAAAAAACAACCTTAAATATCAGTTAGTGCTGACTGCATCCTCCTGGCAATGAATTATCTACAACTACAAATTCTAAAATCAATTAGCATACCCATGAGTTTGGACTATGAGTTAATAATATATCAGAAACACATTAAATATTACAAGAGGAAAATGTGTTATACATTTCTCTACCAATCCCTAATTTGTAGTCCTGATCCTGTAGCTCACTGAACCACTGTTTCCAAATCTTGTTTTTACTATTATATAGTCTTTTAAATTACCCCAGCATCAGACATAAACATTAAAAATAAGAATCTAAAGCAAAGCTCTATGCCTATATTACGGATGATTCTTTCTATATATATACAATTTTTAATCTTGGACTCTGCACATGTAGTATCTTATCATGCATATTTTAGTTTGCATTTTTCCAAAAAATATACTGCACATATAACAACACATATATTTAGAGTAGAGCTGGAAGGGACCTTGGAGGTCTTCTAGTGCAGCCCCGTTCAAGCAGGAGAACCTATACCACAGGTCAGCAACCTGAGGCTCCGGAGCTGCATGTGGCTCTTTGAGCCTTCCCCTGCGGCTCCCAGCCTCCTCTGCCATTTGCAGAAAGAGACAAGAGACAGAAAGAGGCACTTGCCTTCCCTTCTCTCTCTCTCTCTGTGTGTGTGTTTGTGTGTAAAAAAGAGAGTGGACTCACGGTGTTCTCCGACGAGCTGAAAAGCTTATTGGGCGGAGCTCCTCCCTTTGCTGCGTCTCTGCAGGAAGCAGGAAACAGGAGGCAGGAAGGGCAGCCCAGCTATGCTGACTCAGGAATTCTGGGAGTTGAAGTCCATGAGTCATAAAAGAGCCGAGGTTGCCTACCCCTGAGCTTGTTGGAGAACAGCTTGAAGCCAGCTTGCCAGGTGAGCAGAAGATCGGAGAGAGGGACAGAGAGAGGGGGGGAGAGAGAGGAGAGAAAGAGGGGGGGAGAGGAGAGACAGAGAGACAGACCCTTTTGACATCTAAAACGAAGCTAACATTGCATATATCCTTTTTTACTTTTATGATATAGATATACCTATAACAAAGGTAAAAAAGGATATATGCAGTGTTAGCTTCATTTTAGATGTCAAAAGGGTTTTGTGGCTCCCAGTATTTTGTTTTCAGTGGAACATAGGTCCAACTGGCTCTTTGAATGTTTTGGGTTGCCTACCCCTGACCTATACCATCTCAGACAAGTGACTGTCTAGTCTCCTCGTAAAAATCATCAATGATGGAGGCAAGCTGTTCCACTGGTTAATTGTCCTCACTGTCAGGAAATTTCTCCTTAATTCCAGGTTGCTTCTCTCCCTGATCAGTTTCTAACCATTGTTTCTCGTCCTGCCCTCTGGCGCTTTGGTGAATAACATAACCCCCTCTTCTTTGTGGCAACCCTCAAATACTGGAATACTGCTATCATATCTCCCCTATTTCTTCTTTTCTTTAGACTAGCCAAACCCAAGTCCCGCAGCCATTCTTCATATGTTTTAGTCTCCAGGCTTTTGATCATCTTAGTTGCTCTTCTCTGAATTTTTTCCAAACTCTCAACATCTTTTTTGTGATATGGTGACCAAAACTGGCTGCAGTATTCCAGGTTTGGTCTTACTAGAGTTTTATAAAGCGGTAGTAATACTTCACATGATCTTGATTCTATGCCTCTGTTTATACAACCCAGGATTGTATTAGCTTTTTTAGTTGCTGTTGCACACTGCTGGCTCATAGTCAAGTGATCGTCCACTAGGACTCCAAGGTCCCTCTCACAGTTACTGTTTTTGAGCCAGGTCTCACCCCTAATAGAACTAAGCTTATATAGCTGCATTCTCATAGGTAAGATCTATTAACTGCCTAATTGAATTTCAGACTAAAGTGACACAAAGAAATCAGAATAATCCCAAGAGTAAAATGCAAAGCCCACCATGTACTTTGAGATGGATCGATTTCAGTGCAGTACCAACTCACAAAAGTAAAGCTGGGAAATTCAGCTAGCTACTCATATAGTACAATACTTAAAATAAATATTGCAAAAGACCACCAAATACTTCAGGGTGTAAGAACTGACAAACGTCATAAAATATTGCAGGGCCATTTCCAAATGTAGACAAAAAGACACAACAAACATAAGGATTAACACGGCATCTGACTAGCTAGTCCATATAGATTAATGGTTGACTAATATTGGGTATGAGGCTATATATTTGTAGTCTAAAAACACAGCTTACATGAGATTCCAGTAAGAGAAGAAAGCCCATTTAAATGCCCACCATATCCTGGCCTAATTTTGCTGCTCACAGCTCTGCCATTTAATCCATTACTTGTGTGAGCATGCTCACTTTGTACTTGTTCTCCGTTTTGGTAGGGGTCGGAATATGACCTCTCTTCTTGAAGGTTGTAAAGTGCTTGCATTGAGGGCATGGCTTGGTGCTTGAGCCAATACGGCCAAGTTCTAGGAAGTATTTATATTTGATGATGTCATCATGTGGCAAATTGAAGAGAATGGTGGTTTCATCCAGATGTTCATTGCACTCTGTAATCGGGCAAGGGATATCTGCTTGGCCCACCTGTACCTGCATATAAACAGAAAAATGTGTTATTAAATAATTTTATGCCACAAAAGTTACCTCACAGAACTATTCAATTCATCTTTTAAGTGAATAGCTAGTCTTCGCTTAACACCTGCCCTGTTTAGTCACCATTCAAAGTTCTGATAGCGCCCTTAAGCCCTCGCACTTAGGACCATCACAGCATTTCCACAATCATGTGATAGAGGTTTGGGTGCTTCACAACCATCAGGATTTATGACCTTCACAGCATCCTGCAATTACACAATCACTATTTGTGTGCTCCAAAGCCACTTTCCAACAAGCAAAGTCAATGGAGAAGCTTATAAAAAATTGAAATTTGGGTGCATGTGATGTCTTACTTAATGATCCCATCACTTAATGATGGAGTTGCCAGTCCCAACTGTAGTCATTAAAGGAAGAATACCTGGTATAAGGCAATGGGTTTAACTTAGTATTAATTTTAATGTGTGTAAATAAATATAAGTCATATTTACAAAATGAAGGTGAAAAAGGCAGAATCTATTAACACCATTATGGGATATAGGAGTTAGAAGCCATGGTCTTCTAGAGTCCAGAAGTTGTTTAGCTCAATAACACAATCAATGTTGAGGGATTGTGGGGAGACTTAATTCTTTAACATCTAAGACAACTTCTGCCACCATATTTTTTTTTTTAAAAAAACTGCCTCCAAAACAAATTTTTAATCTCTCACGTTTGCATATTTTAAATTTTAAAAAATTTAAATTTAAAATTAAAAAAAATATATCAAGAATTATCAGGCAAATTAATCTCTGTTATGTAACAGTGAAAGCTATATATATCAAGTACATCTACATCCAGTGAAACAATATAACAAAACTAGAAACATATATAAAACAGCCAAGAAAAGCCAACAAATCACAACAGTCAATCTTGACACAGGCTCAACCATACACCCAAGGGCCTCAGGCTTGATGACAAAAACCTTTCTTCTTCAAGATCTTACAAAGAGATCAGTAAGGCCAGGGCAAGTCTAATCTCTGGGGGAATAATGTTCCAAACCTCAGGCATCACAGCATAAACAGATCTCTTCCTAGGTCCCTGTGGTGGTAGGTGGGAATGACCTTGTGTGGTGGGGACGAAAAGAGAGATGCGTCTAGGGACGGAGCTCCTAGCTGCATAATGGCAAAAAGAAATTCAGAAAGGATCTTAACTGATCAGTTTGTAAAAAGATTTGTACTTTCAGAGTTAGAAGATTCTTATAATGTAGCCTTAAAATAAAATAGAATTAGCTTATTGTGTTTCCTGTCCAGTCAACCTAGGAAGGCTGACAGTCCCAGCAGATGGCAGCACCTGAGGGGGAGGGGTTCTGGAAAATGCCCTTCCTGCTGGATCTAAAAGAACAAGTTGATTCAACTGAGGAGAGATGGTCTCACGAGTGTAAAAATCCTTATTTTAGGATCTTCCATTTATCCTATGATGAGCATTTATATTTCAACTACCATATGTTGTTTTGACCCAATTAAAATAAATCAGAACAGTTAGAGGGAAAACAGTAGCAAAACAGGAGGTATCAAATCAATTTGTAGAAAAGAAAAAAAAAAACACATTTGAGTTTAGTTACTTTCATATTTGTATTCCACGTTTCCCTCTCACATACATACTTACAGTTAAGGCAGGCAATAAATTAAAATAATCATAAAGGTCAAATTTAAAAAAATTGAAAAAAAGCTAAGATATTCTCTAATATTAAGTATATTCATGTTAAATACATAACCTCATTCAATTGGTGTTTTATGAGATACTCTAATTTTTTTACATAAATGAATAACAAAGCATTCATATATTCTAATACAAATATTTATACTTCAGTTACCATATATCAGCATTTCATTTTCACCTGATAAAATTAAATACAAAAGAGATTCAATAAAAGTTAGATCTTATTTCAAATTATCAATCATAGGACAATATTACTTTATTTTGAGTCTGAGTCAGACCAGGAATAGTAGAAATCAACAGCATTACAAAGAAAAAAGGTAAGATTGTGCAGAGCTTTACCTCTTTCAAAATTTAATTATGGAACCTTTAAAATAATTAACAAAATATGCATTGTGAGTTCAGTATGAAACAAAGATACAATGACTGCTCACCATTACAAAATTAGATCAATAGTATCCAACTATTTAGCTGCAAATTAATTTGGTTTAGTGATTAGATTTGCAGTATTATATAGAAGGTATATACATCATACCAGCAAGAATTGGCCTAGTTTCTTCCTAATTTAAAACTGTTGATTTAAATCACCATGAGACCACCAAAGCTTTAGGTGCAGCATCCAGAGACTTCTAATGTCCATTATCAAAATATAATGTGACAACAGTACAGAATAATTATGTAAAATAATTATGTTAATAATGTTATGGGTTTGTGCTACAATTATGGTCAGTTCAAAAGATAATTCACAGCTATGTAAATACAGCAACTGTCTGCATCTCATTAAAACAGATGTAGTGATTTTTCCACAGCTGCTAGAGGGAGGTTTCCGATACAGTTTACCAGCTATACATTCTGGTAAACAGATGCTGCCTTAATAATGCCCAGACAGGGCTGCATTTGGATTCCTGTACATTTCAAAGCACCATTTCCAAAATGAAACTCAAACACTTCACAGCCTTAATATTTTACTTTATATATTGTATAAGGGGTGCGATGGCTTAACAGTTAAAGATGCTGAGCCCGGCAGCTAGTAAAGGTGACAGCCAGGGGTCGCAACCTGAACACCGTGCAATGGGGTGAGCTCTTATTTGCCCCAGCTCCTGCCCACCTAGCAATTCGAAAGCATGCAAACGAGAGTAGATTAATAGGTACCACTTTATTTATTTATTTATTTATGAGACTTATATACCGCTTTAAGTGCAAGCACTCTCTAAGCGGTGTACACCAGTAAGCAATGTATATATATATTTACATTGCCCCCAACAATCTGGGTCCTCATTTTACCTACCCCGGAAGGATGGAAGGCTGAGTCAACCTTGAGCCGGTGAGATTTGAACCGCTGAGCTGCTGAACACAGTCAGCTAAAGTGGCCTGCAGGACTGCACTCTAACTGCTGCGCCACCTCGGCTCCTTGGTGGGAAAGTAACAGCATACCATGTGCCTCGGCTTATAGTCATGCCAGACAAATGACTAAGGAAAGGTCTTCAGACAACGCTGGCTCCCTTGGCTAAGAAATGGAGATAAGCACCACCCTTCTAGAGTTGGACATGACTGGATAGGGGAAACTTTTACCTTTATCTTTTATACTGTATATTTTATCCTAGCATCACTCGCTACTATGTAGAGTGTAATCCAGCATGGCCAGCAAAAGCCAAGCGAAGGCTTCAACTTGAGAAGTTACATGTCATTGATTTAACCTGGACATTTTGAAATTATGTAAACACAACAGCTTTTAGAGGAACCACCAATAATTGCTGTATTAACCTGTGACAGAACGAGAAATGTTGTCTTTTGGGAGTCCATGTCTGTTGCTAAACTTCAAGCAGTAAGATGATACTGAACATCTCTCTAAATTTGATCTGAAAAGTAAAAGTAGACATTCTTTTGTTCTAAAAGTAGTAATAGATATTCTTCAAATGCCCTAGCCCAAATCCATTCAAGATCTGGAGGTAGGAATCAGTTCTCCAAGTTGAACTTGAGAATAATATCAACAAAGACACAGTATTTCATATTTTGAAGAATATTTTCATCTAAAATTACCTTTTCCAACCTTGTATCCTCTTAAGACTACAAACTGATGAATATAGTGGGAGTTGAATAACAGAACAGCAACACAACAACACGTTAAGAAAAGCTTCTTGAAATGAACTACCGTTATTTATTTAATCCCTTCTCCTAAAATTCCATGCAGAAATGTAGATAAGATGTAAAACAACAATTATGCTAACATCTTTTTTTCTGTTGTAGTAGTGGAATTCCACTGGTCCAATTTCACAATTGCTTAATTTCAACAGGTTCAATGGATTATTCCATCAATATGTTTCATGACCAACAAAAAATATTGATAGTATTTTAATTTCTGCAATTCTTGAACATTCAATAAAACCATAAAGGTTAAATGACTGACAATATTATTCTTATAAGTTACTTTTTTATTATAAAGAAGCAGTGGGCCCCTCAATGTTAGTTGCTGGAATATTAACTGGAAGATACTGTAGAGTTCTTGTTTTTGCTATGACTTCTCTTAGTATGCGGCTGTTCACAGCTATTGTATAGTTACGCCATTAACTTGATTAGAATATTGTTGTTATTGTTGTTATTATTATTATTATTATTCACATCAATGTGAAATTAAAGCTGCCAGTTCTTTGAAGTTGGCCTTCATACACATCAAGTTCTTCCCAAGAACCTAGGATAGCAATGTATCAGCACTGTAAATCCAACCAGTGTAGTCTTTTGTAGTTGGCAGATGAAAATTGTGTTAATGTGTAGATTTTCTAAGTGATGTCTAAGATTTTTTGATATGACATCCAGTGTGCTGATAACCACTGGGACCACCCTGACTGGTTCATGCCATAATCTTCCAACTTCAGCTTTCAGATCTTGATACTTTGTGATCTTCTGCAATTATTTGTCTTCTATTCTACTATCCCCTAGTATTGCCATATCAGTTATCCATGCTTCCTTCTTTTCAACCACAATTAAATCTGGTGTGTTATGAACCACTGTTTGCTTCATTGTTGGCCTCTTGTTAATCTTGGTGCTAATCTCTGCTCATTTGGTGTTGATTGCTGATAAAGAGGTCTTTTTGTTCCCTTTTTGGCTTCTTTTGCTATGAATGGAAATGGTTTCCTAATCATCACATTTCAACAGAGACTGTGAATTGAGAGGCAAATGGTCAAAATATTCATGCATACAATTTTAACATAAGAATAAATTATTTGAAGACTAAAGTTAGGTTCAAAAGTGCCATAATGTATTATATGAAATAACACCACATGGAGGCTTTACTTACATAATTATTT